GAAAGGCACTGGGCTAAGAAGCCAGGAGACTGTGAGTTCTAGTCTTGCCTTAACTGCCAAGCTTCCGAAAACCTGGCCAAAAAAACGGCACGGTTGAAAGGATTGGGTTGGATCAACACTACAACCCCAACAGATCCCATGACAAGGCCTTCAAAACTACAATGGAAGGATGGACTCTGGAAAAAGGATGTGACTTTTCGGCTCGACGGTTGGCTCGTTCCCATCAGCAAACTCACCTCAGGGTTGAAATGAGGGGGTGTTCTCTGATCCTTTTCTTGCAGACGTTTCGTGACCCAGCTAGGTAAGACCATCAATCCTAGAAGGGAGTGGGGTTTGTAGAGTGGAGGAGGAGGAGAAGGAGGGCTGGGGCTTGGTGCTCGCTTAGCTTGCTTGTTTTCTTGCAAATGTTTCATTACCCAAACCAGGTAACATCATCAGTGCTAGAAAGGAGTGGGGTTTGGGGAGGAGGAGGAGGAGGAGGAGGAGGAGGAGGAGGAGGAGGAGGAGGAGGATTGTGAGGTCCTTGGTGCTCTCTGATCTTGGCTTTTTTCTTGCAGGTGTTTCATGACCCAAACTAGGCAATATCAGTGCACTGATGATGTTACCTAGTTCAGTTATGAAATGTCTGCAAGAAAACAACCAACTCAGAGAGCACCAAGGATCCCAGTCCTCCTCCTCCTCCTCCCTTCTAGCACTGATGATGTTACCTAGTTGGGTCATGAAAGATCTGCAAGAAAACCACCAAACCCAGAGAGCACCAAGGACCCTTCAACCTCCAAACCTTCAAGAATAAAGCAGGCATCGAGGTAACACCAAAATGAATGACGCCGGCATTTTCAGTAGTGCCAATGACCATTTATCTTTGAACATTATCACCAGCTCTTTGCCATCAACCCAGCCATGAATATTTCCAGTGACAAGAACAGCAGTTATGAATGAGTCTCAATTATGTTTTTTAAAAAAAGAAGTAATGTACACCAATTGCTTTTCAGCATACCCTACATCTGCAGGGCAACCCACCCGAAGCCACCATGAATAAAATTTCGGCTCAGGGGGAGGAGGAGGAGGAGGAGGAGGAGGAGGAGGCAGCATAGTAAATGCACAGCACTAGAACAGAATCACTTAATGATAGCAGTGTGGATTCTTCTCCAGATAAAAGTACCAGCTGCAGAAGTAGATACCTCCAGGGAACACTAAGAGTAGTCTTCCCTTAGGGAATGCTCCCAACCCGTATTAAATTAAGTGGAACTGTGGAACAATCCCCATTCAATATGGGTTCTCATAAGAACTAAAAGTTTTTTAAAAAATGAACTCAATTTACTTAGCTTGGTGCTATCTGCTCCAAGATTGGAGAACTCATGGTCTTCCAGATGTTGCTGGCATAACAACCTATAGCAGACACTGAAGAATGCTAGGAGCCTCTGGAGGCCCACATATATTCCTTGCCTCTCATAGTATTCCAGTTCACTAACTAGCAGAAGACATTCTCAACTTAGCTATCTTAAGACGCTGGGTGCTCCATAAGCAACCTCATTGGTACGGTTCCTTTCCTCTAGATAGAACATGGTTTTATTTGGGAATTGAAATTATTCCCTATAAGAGAAAATTATGGCTATTTCCATTAGTCCAATCCCTTGGGGAATCTTTATCATAGACCTCAGTTATAGCTTCAAATGATTATGTCCTTGAGCCCAGCAAAATCCACGACTTGTTCCACTTTCAGAACATCTCAATTTGCACTGGTCATTAAAGCTCTCTAGACATCCTTTGTTGTTGTTAGTTGCGAAGTCATGTCCAACCCATTGCGACCCCCTGGACCATGTTCCTCCAGGCCTTCCTGTCCTCTACCATCTTCTGGAGTCCATTTAAGTCACACCAACTGCTTCAGTGACTCCATCTGGCCCCCTCCTTCTCTGCTGTCCCCTTCTTCTTCTATTGCCCTCCATCGTTCCCACCATTACGGCTCTTCTCCAGTGAGTCCTTCCTTCTCATCAGGTGGCCAAAATCTTTGAGTTTCATCTTCAGGATCTGGCCTTCTAAAGGCCAGTCAGGGTTGATCTCTAGGACTGACCAGTTGGATCACCTTGCAGTCCAAGGGACTCGCAGGAGTCCTCTCCAGCACCATACTTGGAGCAAAAATGGTCCACTGGGGAGAAAAGTGCTGTCTTTTCCCTCATCTGGGGCCTGCCAAATATCGAGTAACATGGAGGTAAGATGGAGGAGTTCTGCCCATTGTAGAGTCCATGTAATCTGAGTCTCAAAGAGCTACTAAAAGATCAGGATTTGACCCTCTCTAGATTCTCAGGATGTAAAAGGTGTATGTAAAGCACCTAGGGAAGAAAGCTATGGAAAAGCTAGACAGCGTTCTAAAAAGCAGAGACATCCCGTGCCAACAAAAGTGCTGTCAGCGTTCCAGCAACTTGCATTGCAAGTGGGAAAACCATATAGCCTTGACTCTATGCACTTGTCAGCTTTGGAAGCCATATTGAGATTCAATGCTTCCACTTTCTCAGGCTTGTGGCAGCATGGGAGCATCCAAAGCTGACAAGTGCATAGAGTCAAGGCTATATGGTTTTCCCACTTGCAATGCATGGCTGTGAAAGTTGGACCATAAGGAAGGCTGAGCGCCAAAGAACGGAGGCCTTTGAACTCTGGTGCTGAAGAAGACTCCCGCGAGTCCCTTGGACGGCAAGGCGATCCAACCGGTCAGTCCTAGAGATCAACCCTGACTGCTCTTTAGAAGGCCAGATCCTCAAGATGAAACTCAAAGATTTTGGCCACCTGATGAGAAGGAAGGACTCGCTGGAGAAGAGCCGTAATGCTGGGAACGATTGAGGACACAAGAAGAAGAAGAGGACAACAGAGAAGGAGGAGGCTGGAGGGGGTCCCTGAAGCAATCGGTGTGAGCTTCAATGGACTCTTTTTCTAAAGCACCCGAAGGCCAGACAAGGAATAATGGATGGAAACTGAACAAGGAGAGATTTAACCTGGAAACAAGGAGAAACTTTCTGACAGTGAGAACAATCAACCCATGGAACAGCTTTCCATCAGAAGTTGTGGGAGCGCCATCAGTTGAGACTTTCAAGGAGAGATTGGACTGCCATTTGTCAGAAATGGTGTAGGGTCTCCCGCGTGGACTAGATGACCTACAAGGTCTCTTCCAACTCTGATTATCTGTAATCTGTAATCTAACTCCAGAAGGTGGTAGAGGGCAGGAAGGCCTGGAGGAACATGGTCCATGGAGATCAACCCTGACTGCTCTTTAGAAGGCCAGATCCTGAAGATGAACCTCAAAGATCTTGGCCACCTCATGAGAAGGAAGGAAGGACTCGCTGGAGAAGAGTCATAATGCTGGGAACGATGGAGGGCAAAAGAAGAAGAAGGGGACAGCAGAGAAGGAGGGGGCTGGATGAAGCAGTTGGTGTGAGCTTCAATGGACTCCAGAAGATGGTAGAGGACAGGAAGGCCTGGAGGAACGTAGTCCAGGGGGTCACGATGGGTCGGACACGACTTTGCAACTAACCACAATACACCTCTGCCTACCACTCCAGAACGTCAACTTAATCCATAAATCCCAGCAGGAGCAAATGCAACAGTCGATCCTTCCTCAACCAACAGAACAGATCTTCCTGCTCTTTCTGCAGACTTGATCAGCCCCATTTCCAACCAGCCGCGGACAAGGACAGCGGGAGCGTCTCCAAATGCTTGTTTGTTACCCCCCCCACCCCCCCCACCCCACCCCCCACCCCACTCCAAATCAAGAGGAAGCGCTTCCAATTATAAACCCAACATGGTTTAATGGGTTGGGAAAGAAAGGCCGGTCCCACAACAGCCGTTCGGGTGTCAGGAACACGCGACGTGTTGTTTTCGCGGGCCGAGCCATTTCGTCAGCTGCACACACACAAACACACACACAGTGTCCTCCTCTCCCCCCCACCCCCGGAGAAGGTTGCGGTTGTTTTGGTAACCCGGCCCGGGCGAGAGACGGAGGGTTTGGAGGCAAGAAACCCACGGAACTCTCTCCAGATCGCAGGGAAAAGGAGCAAAGCCGCCGTTCCCTTCCGCGTGCGCGAGAGAGCGCCCTCGAGGATAACAAGCCAAAGTGATGAAAAGCCTTTGAGTACCAACTCCAAAGATTCGCAGGGCGCGTTTAAGACCGAGGGAGGATTTCATTTCCCCCTTCCCAGCCTGGAGGCGGAGAACAACCCGACGGACGCTGAGAAAAGTTGAGATAAAAGGAAGGGGCGAGTGTGGGGGCAGGCGAGGAGGACCGCAGCTCCAGAGCAACCTTCTCTCCAAGCCCTGAGAAGAAGACCCTACCAGGGGCAGGGGGCTAGTAGTCATTCCCTTGACCGTTCAACAGGGCTTCCCCTTCGAGTCCCAGGGAAATCGGAAGCCTCCCGGGTGGAATGAGTGGCACTGAAGTTGGGGGCGAGGGGTGCCCCGAAACACGAGAGTCAGAAGGGGGAGAGGGGTACGGGAAGGCAATTCACACCTAGGACTGGTCTCCAGGCTAAAATGCCTCCGGGCTGAGATGCAGGAACCGCAGGGCAAACGGTGTCTCGCCCTCCCTCTGGCTCTGCCAACCAGCCTTCTCTCTCCCCCCCCCCCCCCCCCTCCCCGGGGGCGGCCCCCCCCCCCCCCCCCCCCCCCCCCCCCCCCCATCTCAGAAAGGGACGGAAAAATGCTCTCCTTGATCAGCTGCTGACCGCTGGAAGCCACCGGAGGAATGGAACAGCTGTTTTCCTCCAAAAGGGTATACACCCAATCCTCTGTTCCCCCCCAAACTGGAGGGACCCTCGCCAACCCCAGCGGGGTCCCTACGCCCATCGCCCTCTGCCAAGGAGGCAGGGGATGCTGGTGGCGGCGGGGGTGGTGGTGTCTTGTGATCGGATGAAGGGGTTTCTCACCGCTGGCCCCAAGCCTTCGCGTAGAAGACGAACCCCCCCCCCCAAACCATCACCCCCCAAAAAAGAAACGAGCCCCAGGGCTCCACTTACAACTCCCCGCGCCAGGTCCTCGGCGGTAGGGCTGGGGGCGGCCAGGGTCCGCCGCGTCGCCAAGCAAAAGGCCAGCATCAGCAACATCTCCTGGGGGGCCACGCAGGGCCGGGACCAACAGCTGCCCAACATCCCTTTAGTCGTCTCCCGCCGCCGCCGCTGCCTGCAGCCGCGGAGCCGCCGCGGAAGGCTGGGGAGGGCGCCGGGCGCCGCCGGCGATCCGCAAAGGGGAAGCAGAGGCGGAGGGCGACATCCGCGGCTTCAGAGCTTGCCGGGGCTGGCGGCGGCGGGGACTGTCGCCGGGGCGGGGGAGCCGCTCTCCTCGCAGCAGAAGCAGCAGAAGCAGAAGAAGCAGCAGCAGCAGCCCCCTCACCTCAAGCAGGGGGCCGTCAGAAGACGAGGACGGGGAGGGGTTGGGAGGCCTGCGGGAGGGGGGGGGCAGCGCTGCGCGGGGCGGGGGGGGGGGGGGGGGGGGGGGGGCAACGGCGTCGGTTCCAACTTTTCTGGCGCAACCGGTGCGCCCGTCAGGCAGGCAGGCAGGCAGGCAGGCAGGCAAGCAAGCAGCACCAGCAAAGACGCTCCTTGGAGCGTCTCTAGAGGCGGACTTCTTGGGCGTTGCGAGGAATCCGTCGCCGGCTCTGGATCGCGCCCGGCGGGGGAGCGATCCCAAGCCCCCACCCCCAGCCCACCCTACCCAGCTGGGGCTGAGCGTCGCGCCCCGACAGCTGCCCGGAAAAAAAGAAAGAAAAGAAAGAAAAGAGGCGCGCAGTCGCCACCCAGCAACACCGAGTCGCAGCCGCCGGTCAGCGAAGGGAGCGCAGCTGAGCCGGCGAAGGAGGAGGGCGGAGCGGGGGCGGCGGCGGAGGGAGAGGGAGGGAAGAGGCGTCTCCGTGGCGGGCCGGGTGGGCCGGAGGGGGCGCTGGCGAGCGGGGACGCGCGCTCCCGGCTCGGGCGCGGGGCTCCCTCCCGCGCGTTAAGACGCAGCGCAGCAGCGAGCGGGGGGAATGGAGGATTCCGCGTGCCCGGGGCGCGGGTTGTGCCCCGGAGAGGTTTCTTGGGGTGGGATGGGGCCGCAGAGGACAAGCGTTGGGAGAGAGGGGGACTCTGCGAGATCTAGGCTGGGTCAAGGAGAGGGCCAAGGAGATGCTCCGAGCATCCAAGGAGCGCAAGTCCTTGTCTGGCTGCCTTCAGCGGAGGGGGCCTGGTCCTGTCTCGACTTTGGGCGCTCTCCTTCTCGTTAGAGATTCTCCATCATCCAGGTCAGGTTTGTCCCAAAGGTGCTTCCGCCTCCCCAAGTCTTTCTTGTTTCTCCTTTGAAGACATTTCACTTCTCATCCCAGAAGCTTCTTCAGCTCTGACTGGATGGTGGGGAATGGAAGGATTTATACTCCTTGCAGATAAGCTGGTCATTTGCATCCTTTTTAGAGGGTCATTGAGCCCACTTGGAGGTTAATCTGTGTCCTCATGGTCGCCTGAGTGGTGCAAATGGGTGTGAAGCCTTCTTGGAAGACAGTTGAAAGGACTGTTGTCAGGATTCCAGCAATCGCCCCAATTAAATCATGATTCTTGAGCCAAACTTCAACCAACTTCAAAGAGGTGACAACCAACTTAGAGGTGACATATTGGCACTTCCCTGTATGAAGCCAACTCTGGCCTACGTCATTTACGGTTCCCTGTGACCTTGTCCCCCCACCCCCCGGGTGTGTCATAAATCAGATTCTCCAACGGAGCACCTTCACAGGCTGGGTGTCATCATTCACATTCTGCAATTAAATATATCCGTGGGCAAAAGCTATGGTAGTTTAGTTACAATCTTTTAAAGATAAGTGTTGGAATGTACTCTCGGTTTCAAACTGCTGCACTGCTCTTCCAGATTTCCTTCCTCCCCTTTTTATGGCAACTATTAAAACAGGCATAGGAATGTTTTATGAGTTGACAACTGTGTTATAGAAGGATGTATTAGAGATTGGAGATAGAGGATGTTGAATCCCATTAGCGAGATACGACAGTGAATGGAGCAAGCCAATCATTAAAAAATAGTCTTATTTTTGGGTTTCTTGATTTCAAAATCAGAAACAACATTTCTTTCTGAGTCTTTTGATGAAGGACGGGGAAGCTTGGATCTGCAGACAGATTCAGTTAATAATTGATTGATCATCTTTTTATTTATTATTCATACCATGCCTTTTATTATTTTCACAAATAACTCAAGGGAGTGAAACTTATCCAACACACCTTTCTCCTCCTATTTTCCCTCACAACAATAACCCTGTGAGGTGGGTTGAGCTGAGGGACTGGTCCAAGGGCACCCAGTTGGCCTTTATGCCTAAGGCAGGATTATCTCTCCTGGTAATTGGCCCAAAGTCACCCAATTGGCTCTCATGCCTAAGGAGTGACTA